TCATTCACATTGCATTTTATTTATCATTTAGCCGACATGTATTTGATTATAGAAAATTTGCGTTAATTATTATCGAATAATTCGATTTTCCCACAATTTACTAATGCATTTGTATCTTTTTCACAGATACGCCGATCCGCACACTCGCACAGATACACAGACTCTGATGCATATCTAGATACAGATCTGTACTCGAACCGAATTCCAAAGAGCCTTTGATGACGACACCTCGCTGTGCATAACGACATTTGTTAAATACTTTGTGATAGTCTTGTTTACCGTTTTATTTAATTGTTTTACACACACGAGATAGTAGTATTGTAAGATCTTAAGAGAAACCAAACAAAGTTGCAAACCAAATAGAGAGAAATCGAACAAAAGCCTGCAAATGCATTCCACAAGCACAGCCACAAGAGTATTCGACAGATTGAGAATGGGCATTCTGCTGCTGCTGCTGCTGGTCAGCTGTCTGGGCTGTCCGGCTCTGATCGAGGCATGCTCCAGCCGCACCGTGCCGAAGCCGCGCCCGTCTGTCTCTTCGTCCATGTCGGGCATTGCATTGGCGCCCACACAGCCGCCGGCCACAACAACAACAACAACAATGCGAACCACCACAACGACGACGACGCCGAGGCCGAACATCACATTCCCCACATACAAGTGCCCGGAGAACTTCGACGCCTGGTACTGTCTGAATGATGCCCATTGCTTTGCCGTGAAGATCGCCGAGCTGCCCGTCTACAGCTGCGAGTGCGCCATTGGCTTCATGGGCCAGCGCTGCGAGTATAAGGAAATCGACGGCTCCTATCTGCCCAAGCGGCCGCGTCCCATGCTCGAGAAGGCCAGCATCGCCAGCGGAGCGATGTGCGCCCTCGTCTTGATGCTGTTCGTCTGCCTTGTGTTCTATTTGCGCTTCGAGCAGCGAGCGGCCAAGGAGCGCGAGCTTCAGGAGGACGACATCGAATATGAGGAGGAGGAGTGCAGCGATGGCGATCATTGCGACTGCTGCCGCGATCGCTGCTGCGCCTCGGGCGATGAGCCGCTCGTGACGCGTGGCAAGCTGCCCTATCACATGCGGCTGGAGCACGCCCTGATGTCCTTTGCCATCAGGCGCAGCACCAAGCTCTAGGCTCAATCTGAATCTGACACAGAAATCCAAAAACGAATTCCCATTTAGCTATAGACTATAGAGTATATGTATATTTGAACTCAATCTCAAATGATTTCTGCCTTGCCCGTTATGCATGTCATGCCGAAAATGCGTACTACGAATTTCTATGTGCTTTAGTCGTAGCCTAATGTTCCATTATACATACTGCATACACATATTGTCCTATTTACTAAATGTTACGTGTAACAAGCTCTCTATTCCAAGTTCTTGTGCGTATCCTAGACCTGAGATGAGATTCTTCACTTCTCTAATTATCGTGAATCGAATATGTATTTTTAATTTACCTTACGCTAGAGCTATATTTATTTTACTCTATAACTATTATACATACATACATGTATACCATGGCATATATATGTACATGCACGAACACATCCACAATGATCCACGTCAAGTATTATTTATTGCACTAGCTATGTATGAATTACAATGAGAATTTTTACAATAAACATGCGCTGCACTTGCATATTATTTATGCCAAGGGAGCAAATCCCAGATTCTTCCGTGTTTTCGATTTCAATTTAGTTTTAAGAAACCCGTGTATAACTCTTGATAACTCGAAATGGAAATCTGTTATTTTTCGAAACTCAAGTTATCGAGAATCATCGAATAGGAATTTTTCATCGAGGGAATAGAATTTGTTTTTATTTATCGCGAGTTTTATTAAGCGGGGTTTAAATTATCGAGACTCAACTGTACTATTAAGAGTTGAATAAACGGCAATGAAGATTCTAAAAATACCGTTACATACTTTTGGGCTTTTACTGAAAGCATTGGGTGCAGAACACTAAAAACGATTTTCGAATTCGAGCTTGTATGAAACCGGGAATGGCCTTATTATATCAGAATTAATAGTTTCGATTGGCTATTGTACATTATTATATACAAATATGTATACCCGGATCAGAATCACGATTAGGACTAGGATGAAGAGCGCATGACACCAATATATGGATATTCCGATGATTGCAAGTTAGCTAAACGTTCCGGAGTCTAGTTAAGACCGAGCGCCGCAACCTTCCTAAGGATAACGAAATCCTCGCTTTGGCCTTTGAATATTCGGGTTTGCGTGTAGCTATAGAAGTAGGCCCACATGGCTGTAACAAGTGCGCTCATGCTGTGGAGGATGTATAAGGATTTGGATAGAATCTTCGACAGGCGAGAGTCGATAGTGAAGCCTATGCTCCAGTAGTCACGTATCAGTTGGACCAGGCAGCCGGCTACCCTCATGCAGCGCCTCATGGATATGTCAGTTGGCAGTTCCTGAAGAAATATTGCGAATCCAATGCATATCGTTGTGTTGCTTCCCACTTTCATTTGAATATCTAACTGGGTGTCTATGGAAATAAGTTTGTGCCCTTGAGAGATACGAAGGCTCTTCAGTATTAATTTTGATTGAGCGAAACTGCTTCTATTTTTATCAATTGATAGTAATCGTGCAATGTTCGGTTTAATTAATAATGCCAACTAAAGATAAGCGGTCATGTAGAAAAGATAATCTTATGAGCGACGTGCTCACGTTCTTAGATAAGCCCAACATGAGTTGCTGAAAGTATGTACAACCCGTATGGTATTGTATGATAGTGTACATGAATGGGTGTACGCACGTAAGATTCTAAGGCTTAGACGGACTTGAATACTCAAAAAAATCATGTTAAACGTATGATCATTGCAGTCGGTTATTACCGACTGCTTTATGCCCATTCAGGGTTCACCAGCAGTATGGCATGGTAAAGTTGGCGGGAAGGAATCTGGAAAATTCTTAATGCTTAAGGAGAGGTTTTAAATCTCACGTGTTTACCTTGAATAGCGGCGAAAGCCGATAAAGTAATTTGACCCCGAGAATTATAATTTATTTAGATATATTAGTAAATGAATTAAGATGGATAATTCTAGCTATATATATTGTTATCAATATATACTCACACATATTTACTTTTCTGAGTCTAAGATCTACCAGTATTTAGTAATTCTATAGAGTATAGTAGTTGCGCTCTAGCCTCTTCCGAACAAATATTTATTTATTTTATCAGAACTGGGGGCGTTACAAATTTGGAATTACCACTGTATCGAGGCAATTATATATGGTACCACAGATTTTACATATGTATATACATATATATATCTAGTCAACATGTGTACCTATAGGATCTTATATCTACGACAACTTTTACAATATAAAAGATCTATAAATTTGATTCGGCTACCTAAACATCATACTTAAGTATTATTGGGATATTAAAAGATTGTAGCTGAAGTAGTTTGTAAAAATATATTTTATTTGTATATATATCAAGCTAGAGCCTATTCAATTATCTCTTGGTATAACTGATACTGTCATAAAGGTCTGATTCGTATTACAAATGAGTTGTACGTGCCTAGCGCAAGGCAACGACTATATAATATAAAAACGATCTTATCTATAATTCTGCGTGAACTGCAGGTCAATTTGCGTATGGGGGAATTCCAGTGCAGGCATGAGGTATAGTTGGGGAATTCACGGCTTTAAAGTCAAGTAAAGCAGTTTGCAATTCAATAACAGAGGGTTGCTGGGTTGCGATAAGGAAGACTGATCACACAGATCTGTTTTAAAGTGTCGCCAACTAATCTGCGTCCGATTTAGAACTGCCTTGAAATTGATTTTATTCTATGATAGAGCCCCTTCATTGGACCATAGCTGCTGAGCACCAGGGAAATAAGCGTTATGCACTTCATCAAGATTTGGAAGTCGGCCTTGGTGCGGCTCTTAAAGTAGCCCGTCTCATACCCGTAATACTGGGTGACCAAGGCGATGACAAAGCAGGCGAAGCCCAGGAAATTGTGCAATGTTTTGTTTAGCAGCGGCGTGATCACTTTCTTAACGCGCGCCGAGCAGAGAGCTGCCAGACCGGAGCTCATGGCCAGGAGACAGAGTATAAAGGCGGTAATGCCTAGAGGGATACCGGATTATTAACGTTCCTCTTTGAGCGAATCCCGTTCACTTACCCAACCTGCCGTGGACGGACTGCAGCATAAATCCCTTCTGTATCATTTTGATCAGGGCACCGGCTGCCCCACAGCCACCGCCCAGCGTCAGTAGGACCCAATGGATGGTGGTCTTGGTGGATCGCTTGTAGCTGTTCGTTAGCACGTTGCCTCCATAGTGGACCATTACGCCTTCCGCCATGAAGAAGGAGAACTGCGACACACCAGGGGAAAACTCAAATGCTGATCGATGGGGGCCGACGGATCACTTACCCCAATGGTAACCAGCCAGGCGTGCAGTCCGGTGCCTGCGAGGCCCGTCTGCAGCGTGAGATACGACATGTAGATGGTGACAAATCCAATGCACATTTGGTTCAGCACATTCAGAGAGTACTCCAGGCGCTGCAGCGGCTGCTCGGTCTCACTAAGCGGTAATTTGTGCGACATCCTTGAATATCGATGGCCACCGGAAGATTCGCTCAGGTCCACAAAGGCGGGCGATCGCTGGGCTCGTGCGCTTGGAGCTGTTGGAGGCGATTGCGAAAGCAGATTTGTGGCTGGGTCAGCTCTCGCCGTGCTGCCGTAGTCGATCACTTTCTGCGTGCTACTGATGACCGGCGGGAGATGTTCTGTCATCGTGGCCCCAAATGCTTGGTCTTAATACCCTGTAACTGAAAAGCAGAGGGACACAGAGATTTGGCTATAAATCTTCAGCTCGTCAACGTATATTTAGCAGCAGAAGTCGACTCGAGTCAGGTGATTCAAGGCGTTTGTTTCGAATCGATAAGTATCGATTTCAATAAAATATCGGTAGGCTTAACGTGATATCGAATTTGAAATGTTCGCTGCAGGCAAAAGAGAAGAGAGGAAGGAATGTGAAGCCAGTAGAGGGCATCTGGCAGTCGTGCATCTGGTATTTCTTACAGTGAGTACGGCGTGCTTATCAGCGGGGAAAATAATGTTATTTTCGTGTTAAATTTATTAGCTGCAACAAAAACAAGCTCGCCGACTGATAATTGCTTCCAACAACTATTTTATGAGGCTGGAGTGCGCTGACTGTGCTGTTTTTTTTTTTTCTTAAATTTTTTTTTATATACATTCAAATTCACGGTAATTATTTCGATTTGTCGTCGGACGAAATCATAAAAGCCAAAGCGAATTTATATGAGCTGGAATTTATTATTGGTTTCCGCGAGTCAGAAGTACGCCCATTGACTATAGCCAGTCCACTAATCTCAGTTCTGTATGGGTACAGCTCGAAGTCGACTCGGGGTCGGGTCGGCATTAGTCGCGCCTCAGTCTGCCATTGTAACTGGCACTGTCAACCGCAAGCCGCAAATAGCAACCCATATTGCTGTTCTCATATACCTATTCAATATCGAATGACAGTCGACTTTTAATATACACGTAGGGGGTCAGAATATAAAAGTTATATGAAAATTCAATGAATGGATCAAGGCCAGCGACAGCCTCGATGTAAAGGGCACATTCATATTGGATAAGAATACAATTACAGGGTGCTCACTAGTCGGGTAGTGAGCAAGCAAGCAAAAGCGAATGCTTCCATTCGATATTTGCATATAAATTTGTATATTATATTATATATTTGCAATTGTTTATTGCACATTCATTATCTCGGGGGATGCTGAACACAAATTTGAGTTGCTTGAAGGGAGTGCTTTGCTATGATATACCCTGCATTCAGAGACGAGCTCTAATCGCAATCAACTGTCGATTCTGTTATCAAACATACATATTTTAAATTGAAACACTTCAAGAAAATTGACGTACACAGAGATACATTGTCGTACAGACAGATAGGCAGACACACAGATAAACAGAGATAGATAGATAGATAGATAGTTACAAACCAGTCAAACAGAAACACGTAAATAAATTTAATATTTAATGTGAGCAATTGCATGAATAGCTTCATCTCTCACTATAAACAGCATGATTCATCAAGAAATTGGACTTGTATGAGCCGAATTTCGTTTGAAACTAAAACATATTTTATGTGAGATTCTTACATGGAGTTAGCATTAAAGAGAAACGATCAAGTTATCTGATACTGCTTAATTCGAAATCTGCTATAACTGAAATTGTTTAAAAATACTAAAGTTGGTGAGCTTTAAAGAAATAATAATAGTAATAGTCATAGTAGAAGACCTCTAGAATCTATCTATAAGTAAATCATTAAAAACAAAACTAGTATACCCTAGTTTTACATATTCAATAAGTTCAGGGTATATGCAAAAAAATAAAAAAATCTTACGGATGATGTTATCTATCTACACTACTACCTCAGCTTTGTCCGTTATGCTAAAGATTTTAAGCTAACTAACAAAAATTATAGCTGACTTCACTTACATAATTTGGTTAACTGGATCCTCTAACCTGGAATTACATAGAATAATAAATTATTAAATATATTCTGCCAATCAATAAAAAGTAAACTTTGTATGGACTTCAAAAGAGAGGGAACCATACGGAATGGAATGGAAAATAAACGAATAATTTAAAAGAAAAATCTAGTTTAATTGGAATCAAATCAATGCTTCATATATAATTATAGTTACTTTTATTATCAATCCTCTAAATATAAGCTAATAATATAGTCAGTTCATTAAAATAATTAAATCTAAAACTTGGCATTATTTTTTCTTAAGTCTTTCTTAAGTTAAGAATCCTCTTAACTGGCGAAACTGAGAGCTTTCTGATATAGAGACTTCAGCGGTGCTATGCAGGTTAGGACCATTGACACGAGGGTCACGACCTGCATAAGGATAACGAAATCCGCGCCTTGGTCTTTGAATATTCCGGTTTGCGTGTAGCCGTAGAACTGGGCCAACATGGCCGTAACAAAGGCGCCCATGCTGAGCAGGACGTGGAAGGTCTTGTTGGACAGTGGCGAGCAAACCCTCGACAGGCTGCGCGCGAGCACTGCTGCCAGTCCACTGAGCAAAGAGATGAGGCACAGTATGAAGGCAGCGAATCCCAGGCGAGCGTGGATGGTGACGCTAATGCTCCAGTGGTCACGTATCAGTTGGACCAGGCAGCCGGCTACCCCCATGCCGCCACCGAGTATCTGGAGCACCACATGGATGGCCGTCTTGCGCTGGCGAGTGTAGCGCAGAGTTAGCCAGTTGCCGTCGTAGAAGCACATCATGGCCTCCGCCATGAGGAACACAAAGCCAAAGGACACCAGCCAGACGTGCAGCCGGATTCCAGTGAGGCCAGTGCGTAGGCAGTTCCAGCAGATCCAGATCGTCACGAATCCGATGCACAGCTGGTTGAGCACGTTGAGACCAGCTTCGATGTGCTGCAGGACGCTAGTGGAGTTTCCTTTTGCTACGGTCATTTTGAGGGCGATATTCCTCCCGGATTCCAAGGATACACTTTTAATTGTTTATTAAATATGTTTTTTTCTGTAGAACAAGTGGGGTTTTAATGAGGTTTTTTACTACTCGAGCACTAAATTATTTTACACTTCCCACAGCTCCAATTTGAAGTCGAAAATAATATTAACTTATTTATTTATTAATGGTATTTTGTATTGGTATTTCACGAGCTTGAAATGCGATTTTACTCTGGGTATTTCTTTGAATGAACTTTCAAATTTCCGTCCGCTTTCGCGCATAAGGAAAAGACAACTCGGGGTCTTCTTATGCATAACAAAACGTATTTATACCATCTACCCTTTATGGAAGTTCGAAAGGGTATATAAGACTTGTGATACTCCTACACCAAACCGACGTACCGATGCTTGGTTAATTTAATATTCAGTCCCCGGTCCGTATCAAATACATTAGGTTTACTATAGATTTACTGTTAAGCTCGATAAATATCGATTGCCTGTTTTATTATACACGGCATTATAAGACTTGTATATGAGCAGCTGTAAGCCGAACTTTAAAGGTTTTCGAGAACCTCTAACATAAAGCTATAATCTGTAAGGCATTCCGGATCTGCTTAGAGGGTATCTCCAAGTTGAGCAAACATACAATCGTTCGTTTCTTTAAATTAACAAAATTACTTGATAATATTATTTATGTACATATTCCGACTATCAGTAAAGTTGCGGTTACCAATCAAATGCATAGTGCTTAAAGGATTATAATATATACACCTAACGCAATCAATTTCGCATTTCGCACTCTACGTACATACCCAGTAACTACTGCCCCTAGCATCTTTATCGCCAGTGAAAATCGACGCAGATCATAACAATTGAGATAGAGCTTATTCTGCACTCAGTCTCACGTCATTCAGTGGGTGTTTCCAGCATTCAAATTTGATATGAGTTTCTTATTTAATCGGCCCATAGAAATTTGGTAAAATGGGGTATAATGATTTCTGTGAAAATCTTGAAGCAACTGAAGTATATAGTATATAGGGATTGATGTATTACGAAAGCTTTAAAGTAGGATGATAAAACAGGAAATCCCATTAAATACAGTATTGCAAATGTAGTTGACCGAATTTGAACAGGGTATCGTTCAGCTAGCCGGTTCATACTCCACTAGTTCGCTAGCTTAGGGTAATTGTTGGTCATAATGTAGCATAGTCATCATCGATTTAAGCCACTTATAATTCGTCTAGCACTTGTTTGTTAAATTACCGATACTATTTCCATTTCGAGCACCGTCATCAATGCTTAAGCCTTATCGTACTGCAAAAGCGCACGTACTATGATAATAAACAGCCCCGGTATCGGAAAGGGTTTTACTCTACGCTCACATAACTATTTCACTACGTATGTATATTCTCTGATATGACTAAAGATCAATTAAATATCTATTTGATCATTTACAGTGGAATAAATAAAACTTTTTAAAATATTTCCGCGGAACTAACTGTTAAACGTCCAAGAATTAACGAATTGAGCATGTTAGTAGCTAATGATAATAGCTCAATCCATCATCATACTAATAATAGTAACAAACAGTATTGTGATGATAAATAGTTTATAAGTGGCATACGCGATAAAGCACTTTCAACAAAACTCGATAGTATTACGTTACTGTACTGTAAACTAACTTTATGGATTTGTGCTTACATGGCTATTTTCAATAGAGGGCTTCTTGAAAGGGGTGTCATTCGATATGAAATCGAATTCATTTTTAGATTTCAAGAATTAGTGCCTTCTGTAAAGTCATTCGAGGTTTTGCTTGAATAAACAACTTCATGCAACTACTTCGTATTTGTTCGAGACTGCTCGACTAGGAGATACCCTGAACCCTCCACTCTGCACTTCTTTTATGTACACACACATGCATCCACACGCATGCATAAGCCCGCGCTCTGCTAACTGCGCAGTAAGC